CCAGGTCGCAGCCCTCGTCGCCTCCTTGATCGAGCCCGCGAGGCACGAGTGCGCCAGGAAGATGGCCCACGAGCGCTCCATCACGGGCGCGATCGCGCCCACTCCCACTGCCCCCATCGGGGGGCGGTGGCATCTCCGCCCCCTGGGATTTCGCGCAGCCCCACAGCTCGCTCGGTCCGCCAGCCTGTCCGTCCACCTCATTCTGTAGAACCAATATGGGATGTATCCCGCAAAAGAGAACAACTCTTTCACCCCCGACACCTCGGGCGACAGGTCCAGCGAACTCCACGCACTCGGTGAACCCAGGCCTGTCCACGGTGGCTTCCTGAACCGAAAGTTGGGACGCCGACAATCCCAGACCAGCCGCGAGGCCCCGATGTCCGTCTGCCCCCCCCTGCCCCAGGTTCTTCGCCGCCGTGGAGACCCCCGCGCACTCCCGCACCTCGCCGACGCAGCTGAGCACCCCCGCCTCCCACATCCTGAGCGTAAGGCCCAACCGATTCGACTTAACTTCCACCCAAGGTCGCTTTAACTTTCCGTCTGCTAGTACTTGTCCCAGTCCACCTCGTTGTCGCGCCTCAGCATGAGCCCCTCCGCGCCGTCGCGGCAGGGGCGCGCCGCTGGCGGAAGCCGCCGCTCGTCCAGGCACCTCGCCCCGACTTTCGGCGCCGAGACCTGACCCGCTATCGAGTCGCACATGTCGCCCGTCCTCACTACTCCAATTCCCTTCTTCGTCTTCTCCGACGCGCCGTAGCCCATCGACTGCCCTTTCCCAAGACGGCAGAGAACCGCCCTGCCATCGTCGATGCCTCCCCAGCTGGCTCGCTCCGCCAGCAGCTTCCCCAACTGGTTGATGACCGTCCGCTGCAGCAGCGTAGCTGAAGACCATGACCTCCTGCAAGGTCGCAGCCGCAACTCCTCCGCCACGGGGGCGCGACCACGGGCCAGGCACCGAATCGACGCCATGGCCCGCGACGACCTCCTCCACGCTACCCTCTGATCTGCCTCTGGCAACTTCGCGCCCAAGGTCCCCGCCGCTCAAGCGGAGGGGAAGGGAAGCCCCGAAAGGGGGTCACGCCGACGTTCGCCAAACCCCGCTGCAGGCACCCGAAGACAACTGGACTCCATGGCCCCGATGAGGGATGCTCGCCCGCTCGCCTCACCCCCGATGCGCAGATGCCCAGAGAGAGCCTAGGACAAGGCGCTGAATAACACCAACCCCGCGCGCACCTGCGCGAAGTCCCTCCCACTCGTAGCCGACCGGCCTTCACTGAATCCACGGAAAAAGAACCTACGCGGACTTACGCCATCGGCGTCGGCTTGGCAAGGAGGAGCCGCCAACCTTCCTGCCGCAACCTATTCGCCCGCGCCTGCGTGCCCCGACGCACCCCCACCGAAGGAGAGGCGCTTGGTGATGGCGGCCTTCTTCTTCAAACGCTCAGCAACCTCCTCGCCCGCCGCCATCGCAGCAGGCATCTTCGACTTGTTCAGGTCCAGGTACTACTCAGCGTAGCCCCAGTTGACCTTGCTCCCCCACTTCGATCCGTTGGCGGGCTTGGGGCGACGCCAATCCGACTCAAACTGCACATTCTCGTAGGCCTTGAAGATCGAGCAGACCCTGAGGCACGTGAGCTCCGCCGCCTGTGAGCTGATCAGCGCGTCAAACTCCCCGCGCGTCATCATCCTGTCCAGAACTGCCGCGAGCAAGTTGATCTCCGACGCGATCGAGCACTTGGTCAGCTCCTTCGAGCGTAGCCAGTCCTCCAGCTCCGCTCGGGCGCCTCGCCCACTCCTGTACAAGCGGGCGACGACAGCGGGGGCCACCCTCGCACGCACTCCTCCAACGCGAGCACCTCCCACGTCGCGGTAGGACTTCAGCGCAGCCAACAGCCCGTCCTCTGGATTGCGTGCCTCGATCTCCAGCTGCGCGACCGTCTCTCCGACGCTCGAATTGCCAAGCGATGCGACCTTCTCCCAAATCGTTGGAGACCCCGAAGTCGGAGTCGTCGGAGCCGATGTACTTTTCGTCGCCGCCGCCGAATCCGCCGTCACTGTCTCCTCATGCTGCTGCAACTTCCGCCGAAAATCGTCCACCTGCGCGCCCGCCGGCATGGCACGCACCCCCGCCTCGTCCCCGTCGCTGTCGAAGCGGAGTCCCTTCCGAAGCGTCGTAGGCTCTGCCACCAGTGCGGCGCTGCCCTTCTTGCTCACCATGTCCGCTAGCGAGGCCACCGACGCTGGTCAGATGTTCTGCCCACGAACCATCTCCGCGAACAGGTGCCTTGAGTCAGGCTCGTCGTCCGAGTCAGCCACTGAAGTCCCTGCCACGAACTCCCCGTCCGACACCTCGCTCTCGCTGTCGCTGTCACCGCTGCTCCAGAGCCTGGGCAGGCCTACGCCCATGCTCAGAATCAGGTCGCCGAGGTAGATCGCCGCCACGCCGACTCCGATCGACACCCCAATCTGCTCGAGCTCGCCTGACTCGTACATATCCTCGGCCCCCTCGTCGCGCGCACCCTCCGCCGGCTTTCCCGCCGCCACGGCGGAGTTGTACACCGCCCGAAGCACCGACCCCAAGCCGAGGAACTTCCACGCCCTCCAGCCAAGGAGCGCCACGGAGCCTCCGGCAGAGCGCCGCATCCAACAGAAATTGAGCATGTGCATCACCCAGCTCTTCAGGCAGTCGAACAGGTCGGTCGTTTTGCTCGGTTTCTTCCTCTGCACGTTGCCTTTGTTCTCCGCCAAACTCTTCGCATCCTCAGCCTCCAGCTCCCGTCGAGCAATGAGTCGCTCCGAAGCCGTCAGCACCTTGTCCCTGCTCGCCACGCTCAGCCCAGGATGCTCCGTCCAGGTCAGCTCCTTGACAGGCTTGGTGAAGATCCGATCTTTGTCTCGAACACTGATGACTTGGACCCTCAAGGTCGGGTCACACGTTGTCTATGTAGTACTGTTCGTCTTGCCGATCTGCGACGCCAACAGCATCGCGACCCCCTGCGAGGGCCCCGTCTTGTAGTAGATTATGTTCCACCTCGCCCACGGCGCCATCAGGACAGACGCCTTCGACCCCCTCACGGCGATCTCGTCCACCTCTTCGTAATCGACCTCGCCGTCGGGATCGAACTCCTCCGCCGCCGCCCAAAAGGGACGGCCCTCGTCGGCCACGCCGTACCACCAAACTTCGTAGTGCCGCCGCGCGGCGAGAGGCTCTGACCCTCCCGCGGTGCTGTGCAAAATCCTGAGGGCTCGTAGATCTCGCTGGAAATCCTCGAGCAGAAACTTGAGCGGCGGCAAAGCCGACGAGGACGGAGCAGAGGACGAGGAGAGAGAGGGGCGGCACAAGAGGGGGCACAGAGAAAGTGTCTGTATATGTGTGTATATATATATGCCTATACGACCACCCTACGGGTGATAAGGAGGTTGGGGGGGAGGGGGACCTCTGTCGATCTCACTCTGGATCTCGATATCGACCCATTAACGATATCCCTATCCATATCACTCGATCTCACAAACGGTATCACTATTCATCTCACTATCGATCTCACGATCGATCTCACGATCGATCTCACTATCGGTCTCACTATCGATCTCACGATCGATCTCACAATCAATTTCGCCATCGATTTCGCTATCGTTTTCGCACCAGCGAGACACCGGGACACCGGCGGGACACCGGCGGGACACCGGCGGAACACCGCGCTCCACCGCTTGCCGGAGGGAGAATCATTTGGTCCGACCTCGAACCACGAGGAGGAGGAGGAGGAGAAGGAGGAAAGTTGCCCGAGATGGTTCATAGAACCCTTCATTCTTGAGAGGCTTTGTGTTAAGAGCCTTGGTGTTACGAGCCTCAATATAGATCTCCCTGTTGATCTGACAGTCGATCTCAGTATCGATCATCCTATCGATCTCACTATCGTTCTCACTATCGGTCTCATCGGTCTAACTATCGATATCATTATCGATATCACTATCGATCTCAGCACGTGAAACCACAGGACGCCGACGGGACACCGATGGGACACCGACGGGACACAATCGATCTCACTGTCGATCTCACTATCCATCCCAATATCGATCCCACTATCGATCTCGCTATCGATCTCACTATCCATCTCGCTTTCGATCGCACTATTCATCTCACTATCGATGCCACTATTGATCTCGCTATCGATATCACGATCGATATCACTATTGATCCCACTATCGATCTCTCACTATAGATCTCACTATCGATCTCACTATCGGTCTCATGATCGATCTCACTATCGATCTCACTATCCTATCTCACTGTCGATACACCACGGGACACCACGGGACAACGACGGGACACAGGCGGGACACCAGCGGGACACCAGCGGGACACCGGCGGGACACTGGCGGGACACCGCTTGCTGGAGGGAAACCGTTGTGTCTGGCCGCGGCCCAGCCACGACGGGACACCGGCGGGACACCAGCGGGACACCAGCGGGACACTGGCGGGACACCGCGCGCCACCAGTTGCCGGGCGGAGAACCTTTTGGTCCAGCCGCGCCCCAGTCACAGGAGAATTTCCTCTCCCCCGCCCACGCAGCTTCGCCTCGCCCGCACGCACGGCACGAACACGAAACCGAAATCGATTTCCCGGTAGGGGGACTCTCCGTTCCACTTCGATCTCCCCCCCCAACCTCCGATATATATATATATATATATATATATATATATACACACATATATACATGTTTATATACATATATAAAAACATATATATATATAAATACATATATATATATAAATACATATATATATAGGTGTGTGTGTGTGTATGTGGCCGGCGCAAATCTCTTCCGAAGGCAGCACATGCTCCAGAGCTGAAGCGGCCATGAAACGCTCCAGACAGGACACAAGGACACAAGGCTGAGGGTACCCTTGGTTTTGCAGGGTCGCCCTTCTATCAGACCCACTTGCATGTGGCACGTCCACACAAAAGCCGAGCCGCAGTCACATGATACAAGAAGCAAGCGCACCGAATGACGCAATGGCCACCACCATCACGTCCTGCAACGCTGGACAATTGAAAATGAGAAACAGTCCTCCCACCCGCCACATGAACAGAGGCATGCAAGTCACAATCACAATTTCGGGAATATCATGAACTCGAACCCGTATAACATATAAAAACTGACGTCGCTAAATTACGGGTTTCGATAGTCAGAGCTTCCAACTCGTCCAGAAAACCTTCTGCTAAAAAGGAACTCAGCCAGGGTGGGCGAGCAGACACCCGCTAGTACAAAGGCCATGCTGCAAAAATTGTGTTGCCACATCGCCACAGCTTGTCGAACAAATGCGATAGTACTGCAGCTGACTTCTGTCAGACCGCGGCATGTCCCAACAAATTGCTGAATCTTCAGCACACGCAACAATCGTAATTTCTGCGCCAAGCCTCCGCATACTCAAATACATAGCCTTCTCAAACCCCTTCGAGAGACCACCAACAATTCTCTAAGTTTGTTTGTTTGCCAGAAGCCCCGTGGGACCCCGAGGCCCCACGTGTCATACAGTCAAACAAGGACACGTGCCCTAGATTCGGCGTGTGGTAAACAGGGGATAAGAGGGATACGCAGCTGTGACGGCTGCGAGGGCAGACAAACCAAACCAGCAGCAAACCAACAGAAACGATTAATTCCTTGACCTCGTCCCATGCCTGGTGGACGTCAGCGGCCGGGCAACCAAGAAACAATCCTCCCTCATAGCGAAACATGCAAGAGAGCAGACTCTGGAAAGAAGGGGAGAGCGGAGGCCGGCGGAAAGACGGCGAAGTGGAAGAGGAGGAACGGTTGAAGGAGGGCGAACGCAACTTGGTACATTCCGAAACAATGGCATCGCAACGCGGACGTCGGAGTGACTGGTTCCCGAATGCGCGAAACCTGTTCATGCTAACCACGCGTGGTCAGCATTCGGACACACGCTTGTCACCCGCCTTCTCCTGTGGCCAGAGGCCTTGGCCCACGCGAATCCGATCGTCAATGAGCGCAAATATGCTAGCGCGGACTTTTTACCCGGTCTTCAACACCAGGCGGGCGCAATAATACTTGAGATTTCTGTGCTCGTGGATGTTCTTCGGATGCCCTTGGCGGCGCCTGGCGGCAAATACTGAACTTCAGACCGCGCTGTCCGCGGCTACGTCTGTGCACGACCTGGTGCGCATGCCTGCGATCAGCCCGAATTGCGCATGACACTGTACTCGTGTGTGCGCGTTGGAGTGCACATGTGCAATTACTGGTGCGCATGCCTGCGGCCACGCCCACTTACGAATGCGCTGGTAATCGTCCATTCGCACGGCCCTGCGCCGCTCCAAACCGCGAGGGCGCCGGAGACGGCCTCCCCTGGAGGCCTCCCACGGGTTCACCTCAATCCCCCGTCGGTGACGAGCAGGGCGAGCGCGGGGAAGAGGGTGAGCAGGAGACGGATGAGAAGGGAGCAGGAGGAGACTCTCTTTTTTGCTCTCTCTCTCTCTCTCGATATGAGTGGGCGTCCATGTGTTAGTCAGCGTGGTCCCCAAAGAAATGCAAAGCAGCGCAAACCAATGCAAATCAAGGCAAAGCAATACACAGCGACGAAAAGCAACGCAAAACAATGCAAACCAATACAACGCAATGCAAAGTAACGCGAAGCAATGCAACACCATGCCACTGAATGCAAAGCAATGCAAAGGAATGCAAGACAATGTAAAACAATGCGACGCTATGCAAAGCCATACAAAGCAAGGACAAGTAATGCAGAAAAATATGCGGCAATGCAAAGCAATGCGAAGCAATGCGAAGCAATGCCAAGCAATGCCACGCAATGCCAAGCAATGCCAAGCAATGCAATCCAATGTGAACAAATGCGGAGGCAATGCGGAGGCAATGCGAGGCAATGCGAAGCAATGCGAGGCAATGCGAAGCAATGCGAAGCAAAGCGAAGCAAAGCAGAACGAGACATGCAAAGCAATGCAAGCCAATGCCAAGCAACGCAAAGCAATGCAAAGCAGGCGGCGAGTGGATGGCGGTTGGCGAGCATGCGCGAGCGCCCCGCGACCACTTTGCAATTGTTTTTTACAGGGACGGCGAGGGTGCCGGGCGACTGCCTGCTGTGTCCCCCCCCCGAACCACCCCTTGCAACACAAATAATACTAAGCGCACTTTGCGCCACAATCCGCATTATGCGCGGATGCCCTGCGCTCACACTGCACTGGTTTTTGACATGGATGGCGGGGGTACCGCTATACTGCCTGGTGTTTGCAGGCCCACCATCTCTTTCACAAGGAGAAACAAACAACCATATTTGCCAGGGACTGAAGGTGCGGCGGCATACTGCCTGCTGCGCGCACGTCCACCAAACAAATGCAAAACGATGGTGGGCGCACGCGCGCACACAACAAACCCGCGGTCATGTTGCATCGTCTATCCCAACATCCAACGTGGGCGTTTGTTTCTGTGGACACCCCCGCGCAGGGAAGAACACCTCAACGCTTCTCCCCTCCTGTTCTTCACTCACGCATTCAGCATCATCATCAGCAGCATCATCAGCGACACCATCATCATCACCGCCAGACTTATCATCACCACCGTCATCATCATCGTCATCATCGCCAACCGCATCATCAGCAGCCGTATCATCAACAGCACCACCATCATCACTCACTCACTCGCTCACTGGTTCGCTCATCATGCTTACCATTACCAGGGCCCACGAGGCTTGATGATTGAGGCAGTCTCAGGCGGGGGCCGCGTCAGCGAAGGATCCGCGAGGGAGTCTCAGGCAGAACCCACTCCCTGTCCTTCGAACTTGCAACTGTCGTGGCAATTGGGCCCCCGAGGCTCGAAGCTTGAGGAAGTCTCAGGCGGGGGCCTGGTCGGTGAGTGAATTGTGAGGAAGTCCCAAACGGAAACACCCCCCCCGATGCGGTCTACATACGATGTTACTAACACGAGCGGGTTATTTGAAACCTGTAACCGTGACACGTGGGCCTCTGAGGCTTAAACTACCAGGAGATCTCAAGTAGGGGCAGCCTCTATGATTGAATCGCGAAGGAGACTTCGGCACGATACCCGTGCCTGTAGGGCCCGAACCTCATGCGTTTACTACCAAAAATCTATAGTCATCGTCGCTGGTGACTTCCTGATTTCTGCAGAAATCACAGGCGGGGGCCTCATCTGCGCGTGACTTGCGAAAAAATCTCAAGCGGACCCCCTACCCATGGGGCCCGCACCTCGCGTGTAAAATCCCAAAGTGTGGTTCAAAACCTCCCAACGTAACTGTCGCCATGCTTCAGCTCCAAAGGACAGGGCGCAAAGGAAATATTTGGCGGGAAGCTCGTCTGCTAGTGCTTTGCGAGGGCGCCTCGAGCGGGAACCCCTTCCCCATGGGGCCCCCCTTCTCGTTTAGAATCCCAGGGATGGGGCGGAAAGGAGGTGGGGACTACTCTCGGACAAACAAAAGACATGTTTCTGCGGCGTCCGAACGTCGGAATAATTCGCAGGGGCATTGCCAAATGTGGCGCACCTGTTGCACGTAGCGCGGCCGGCAGGCGCGGTAAACATCGCGGGACGTTCGCTCCTGGCTCCTGGCCGGGGTCTGCATTGAAGACGGCCTCGGCAACAAAGCAACAATCACTGATATGACCTAGGTTGCGGGCCCATTGTAGCATCCTTGGGCTGGGGAACTGAACCACCCCAATCTTCCATCGATCACCTCAAAGCTGGCCCTAACACGGTTCCCAAGTCTCCCAAGAGTGCCCAAAGAGGGCCCCCAGAAACACCCCAGCCCAAGAGGCCCCCAAGATGCTCCGAAGAAATTCTCAATGGGGCCCACAGGAGGCCCCCCGAGGCCCGCCCGAAACACCCAGGGCGCTACAAGTGGCCTCCAAGACCGCCAAGGAGGTCCTCAAACCGTCCGAAGAGGGCCCAAAAAAGTTCCCAGCTTCCAGCTGCCAATATCCAGGCTGCGTTTCCAATGGGGGCCCACGCGGGGCACGGATAATGCAAGGTCGCGCGCCTGGCGACGCAGCGCCGCGCGCTTCCGAGAAGTCGGCGACAAACTCGAAACGGCGTGGACAGGAGGGGGCGAAAGCGCGGGGCAGAGGCGCGCGCGCCCTCACTCCGCGCACCAATCTGCCAAATTCTGTCTACGCAACCCGTCGCGCCCGATCTGGGGCCCGCTGCGTCCGCTTCTCGAAATCGCTGCCCGCTGCGCGGCGTTTGACGGGGCCGCCCCGTTCCATGCATCTCCCTCTCGTTGGGCGCCGCGTCCGCCAAGCGCAATCTGCCGCTTATTACATCAATTCAGAAGCGCGCCTCCATGTAAGTTTCCGTGCCCGGGTTGGACCCCCCCCCCTTGCATCGCGCCGGCCCGCGCCCACTTCTTCCCGGCGTGCTTCGCGACCCAGCCCCTCGCTCCAGATCCCCATGCGTTGCTGCGACTTTCCACGTGACGCGTTGTCCTCATTCCGCCCGCGGCGCATCTGGAGCCTGCCTGCGCATGAAGATATCTCGGGGCATGCTGTCTTGAACTGGGCGCAAACTCCTCAACTCATCTGCCCACTGCCCTCATGACTGCGCTCCGCAGAGAACAGCGCTGCCGACTGTAGCGCTGAGGAAGCGCAATCCTCTTAACCGAGACGTCCGCGTTAAGCAGAAGCCGCTTTAATGCCCAGAATTTCCGCCGCGCAGCGGCGGTCTGGCGTCCGAGATCTGGCCTTGTTGGATCTGCATCGGATAACGATGCGCCCGTCTCATCGAAGCACCCCCATCCCCCCCCCCCGCTCGACGCCCCCGCTTGCAGCGCCAATCCCTCGTCCACTCGACGCCCCCGCGCCTCGTCCAAATCGCGCGATTTGTCTGTGCCAGCGAAGTAGCAGTGGCCGACTCGAGCCAAGCGCAGGTCTTTCAGGAGGGGGGCGAGGGCCCCGCCGCAACCGCAACGCCATCGGCGAAAGACGCATGGGCCAGCCGCTTGCCGCCCGAGCCCGTTCCATTTCGGCGCCAGATCTTCTGCGCTGCCCGGTCGTCTCAGCG